ACTTGGGTTTTCATACCTGAACCAAAGGCGTTGAATGCTGATGACGGCATTGAGGGCGTTTTAGAACCGCACCTACGGTTATACGAGTGGTCTGGGATGGATTCCTTCAGCTTCAAATCACCAAGATATTGGCGCCCTGGTCTCTAGCTGTGGTCGTATTTTCCGTTTCGCATGCTCACTGGGGCGCACATCGTGTTCCGGTTAGGGATTATGGGTGAGGTAAGCCCATGATGCGCTCGTTGGCCGTTCCCATGGTTGCCTAGGTGTGCTGAAGAGCAGCTTGGCTTCAGTCTTGAAGAATATTGAGGCTATCATGACCAGATTCGGATTCGTTGATCACACCTGTTCTGTTGCCATACTGTGTCAAGCTGACCGCGAATAGGCAGACATTCAACGTTCCAAGCGCTGGCGCAGTGTTACCGCATATCTCCGGTGGTCTGGAAGTGTGTCAGCCTAGTCCCAAGTGCCTCGTGTGGGAATATATGGAAGAACAATGATTTGATACCAAACATGTGATGCCCTGTTTACGGACAGAAAATTCTCCTGACTGCTAAGGTCATCGTATATCCATGTATAACCCGCGGGTGACAGACTACTCAATCCTGCATTTCTGACCCCTCCATCAACCCCCTTGCTTCTCGACATCGGGGAAAAACACACCAAGGCAATTGACGTTGAAAGAATGTTGTGCAACTCTCCATGCTGCAGCAGTTGCTCAGGTGTGATACTGGTGTTGCCCCCCCCCCCCCCCCCCCCCTCGCTTCGATTGAAGACTAAAGATGATGTCCAGACAACCGTGATGGGAAAGGGATGGCATCTCTTCAAAACTCGCCCTGTCGGGCGGCGGCTGACGGACGATGACAACAATAACTGTGACCGAGGTGAGTTGAAGATGACGGGAGCATGGCGTACCCATACCCAATTCCAGCTAGGACAATAGCTGGGCCGCACAAAGTATAGCGGCGGGTGAGGCGGGACCTTGAAGAGGCAGCCCCAAGGGACACTACTGCATGCACCCTCAGCATCATGCGGTTAGTGTGCTGGGTACGAGCTGGGATATCGATATTTGCAGAGATGTCAAGGTGTTCATTTCAGAGGCGCTGGAGACACAGCCCATGCTCTTTGAGAAGGGCGCCGTGAAAAGCCGCAGTTGCCGTTGACAGCCATGTTGATGGGAGACTTGAATTCCAGGTCAGGAATCTGGAAAACAAAAACCTGGATTTGCGAATAACCGGGCAAGGGGACGGCTGCCGAAGTATTGAGTTCGTGATACCGACCGAAAGGAGAAGGACCCAGCAAAACTAACAAAAGCCTTGTGCGATGCCATCCGGTAGGTACATACAGACAAACATCTGATGCCTGGCCGGTGAGGGAAGACGAGTCGAGGATCTGAGATGCCTGCTGCCACTAGATCCTGCGCGGGCGGACACCGAGGGCGGGGGCTCGACGGTGCACGGGGCACGGGGCAGGGGAGGTCAAACGGCCTGGCCCAAGTCGAGTCTGGGGTAGTGACGTCCTCGTGGGGACAAAGGGATCCCCGTCCAAGTTGGGGAGCGCGCGCCTCGGGCTGATAAAACACGGGTACCAAGAATTAGGGGTCATCAAGGCGATGATGAAGAAGGGAAGGGCATGAGTTACGTGATGTACTTCATTTCTTGATCCATATTGCTTTCCTGTTGCCGAACAAGGTAGACGGGATCTTGGTATATGCTCAGTCCAGATGGTTGTTCAGTTGTCAAAGAATCGTGGTAGGTCCATGCTATCTTCACAGGCTTCTCCTTCCTCTCAAGCAGCATTTCGTAGAGGAAACATTGGGGTCGATTCATACCTATTTGATGAGGAAGGGATGGGCGAGGAAATCTGGTAGGTAGGTCTGGCGGCATCGCATCTGGACACGGCAGGAGCAAAAAGAACGGCCGGGGCCAAGCCTACGACTACCTACCGCTTCGAAGAGGAACCGTTGTACTTGATGGGCAGGAGTAAGAAAGAAATAATGCCGATCTGGCGCCTCTGGCAAGAGCAAACAATGAATCTCGCAGGTATGGCGCAAAGAGCCATTACTTGCCCGGCCTCTTAGAGGTCGCGGTAACACAACCGAACCATCACGATTTATCGACTCCACTGCATTTGGTCCCGTCTCCTGTTCATCCAAAGAGACGGGAGCCGGGGCCGGGGAAAGGTCGTCCGATAAGATGAAGAGCTGGCGTTTAGTTCTTGTCATCGTTTTTGATTCTTCCACGCGCTGAGGTCGAGCGTTTATCTAACAAAGGGCCGTGATCGGGTTATGCCAGCCGAAACTCTGGACGACATTCAGTAGTGCAGCGTGCCAGAGACGAGCGAATGACATGTCAGGCTAGAAAGGGGGCATCGCGATGATGCAACGGGACCGGTTGAGCAAGTAGAGCCAAGGACACTATGACGTGCATGGCACTGGACTACAAAGCCGCAGAGGTACCTGCGTGTCTTGTACCTTCCAAACATTCCAACCCCGAAAGCTGCGCTTGCGCTCCTGTCCCTTCCGGCTCGGCGAAGGAGGAAAATTGCGGATACGTTTGGCTGGTGCGTCGTTCTGTTTCGTGACTCAATCTCCATCAAAGTGGAAGGTGAAAATTCCACAGACAAATTCTGCAAAAATGTCGCGCGGGTTTTTGTGAATTCGGTATTTTCTGCAAAGCCCTGTTGTCCACTGTTGCCCTGCGCACCGCTGCACTTTGTCTTTCTTCGTCGGAGTTCCAGTGTCACAGTGTGTATTTCGCGGGTTTCTTTGGCCTTCTGAGGTCGGATTTGGCTCTGCTCCAGCGGGGGCATGTGGTTTGCGCTCTTGTACCGTTCGCACTTGGGGCAACAAGACCATTGATTGGCAGAGGAGACAGCAAAGGGGCTCCATGACAATGAAATTACGGTAATTTACACATTCAAGAGACCGTCGCCGAGCACCGTCATCGGGGCTTGACCAATCCCATGGCGCTTGATGTCCTCCCGTCCGGGGTACCGTAAGGATAGGCGGTCGGTAATCCGCTGTAACTGCGTAATGAACGGCACGCCCATTGTGGGCACAACCGGGGACCACCGCACACTCGAATGGGGTCCAAGGACCGCTGGGACCGACCTACGACACGGGAATATTGAATGGGGGAACGGCGTGAACGGGTTGCCGTCGAGGGGAGAGCAGCGAATGAACGAATCAAGGGCGGGAGCGAACCACTGCTGGATGCTCCTTATTTGTTCGAGTTGAGTTTAGCCCCGGCGTCAGTGACTCCATCCAGGTAAAGGGATTGTGTACCGCTACCGCTAGCGACGGGATCTGGGTGGCACTTGCACTTGCGACTGGAAAGCAGCGGGCGCCCAGTTCTAGTTTCCCACTTCCCATCGAAACACAGCGATTGTGAGGAAGGTACCGGCTGCCGTCACCATTCCTTTCTTTCGACTCCTTCCAGTCTTGAACACTCTTCGGTATCTCTTTCTGCACCTCTGACGTCCAAGCAGAGCAGGGTCAGATCGCATTACTTTGACCTCCTTCCCGTCTTGTCAAGGGTTGCCCACGCTTGACGGTTGAGTACCACCTTATCCCGTCACCTGTCGCTGCACCAATACCTCACTTCCACTTGGTTGCGGTTCACCTCGCACTGCACCCACCACGGCATTGCACATCAGGATTGGAATTTCGTCCAAACCAAGGAGCCGCGCTTCCACTTTCAACTGATCTTCCGCTTCCGCCCACCACCACACAACCACCCACTTAGGTTCAGCGAAGCGAACTGCGAAGCGGTAGAGGCACTTCAAGGAACCACCTCCTCCACCACTCACGCATAACCTGACATTTCCGCACCCGCATCGTACCGAGCGCCGACATCACCCTTTATTCCACCCACTCCGTCACTCGTCGGTGTCGTCTCGTCGTCTTTGCTGCTCTACCTTTTCCACTTATACCTCGACAACAACGGCAACTAGCTTTCTTCGACCGCCTGCCTGCTTGGAGATCGATCGCTCGCCCCCCCTCGCCTGCATCAATTTCTTCCCTATATCCCCCTGTCGACACAAAGACCGCCTGTGGTTGGTTCTGCTCTTCAATCCCGGGCTCACCGGCATTTGTTCTTAGGGACCTTCAACGCGTCGGCCTGGAATCGTCTCCTCTCGACTACTCCCACCACGCTTTTCTTCACCCTTATTCCTTTTATGCCATTCAAGAGATCTTCCGTCCGAACGACGCCGAGCACCTCCCGAATGTTCTAGCTTTGATACCCTACTTGCGCACCTTAGCCTTTACACGCCTACTCTACTCTGCGGTTACGCCCGAGTGTGCATCTTCGCAGATTCGCTCGGATATCACGGTCATCGGTTGTTCAGCCTTGATCTTCCCAGCTTGCAACGGCTTGTGGTGATCCACGACTCGTTTCTCGACTTGACGCGCTCGTCAACCGACCTACACCCATCCCCTCGTTCGTCTCCGACCCTCGTTCGACCCCGTCCTCTTCCCGATAGCCCCGTTCTCGAACCTGTCAATAACGTGGGACAGGGTTTTTCCGAGGCGATCGTTTTTAGACCAGGATAAGGGGTTTGGTGTTTGGAACGGCTATCCTGGAGCTCGAAATCAGGTCCCAAGGTTCTCGTCACGAGATTCGCCACAGTGGACGGTTAGTTGTCGTGGGACATTTCAACCTTCAGACAGGGACGTGTGCTTGCAAACTTGAAACTCGTGCTCTGGAAGCGATTTTGAAGACCGCGCTAAAGCATTGACGGCGAGCAATAACGTACCAGGTACCAGTTGGTCGTTGGGAAATAGACGAAGCGTCTCTTACAAGTGTGCATATTGCGCCTACCAAGAGTACATAACCTTTAACCGCGTTGCCTTAGTAAACGAGCAAAGCGCATAACGACTGTACATTTATCAGCGTGCCTTCTACATATCAGAAGCAGTGTGCCCACCGCGCCCGTTCAACCACCAGATCTGAACCGCAGGCCGGAATCGCACCGAGAGCATATCCCGATCACAACCTTTGATGGACGCCCAGCCGACAGCGGCTGAACTCAAGCATCATTATCAAGCGAACCTGTGGACGCGTCTACCCGCCGAACCTGCGCTATCGAAGACGACCTCGATTTACGGCCCTGAGTCTGCCGTCGCATACTTTCCCTCTCATCTCGAGCTCTTGCCGATTTTGCTCCCGCAGCACTTGAGCATCTCTCAGGACAGGCTCCAGTCCTACAGCAAGCTTGTGTCTTCTAGTCGAGGAGGCGGTAGTGGTGCGAACAACTTGCAATTGCCGACTGCGATTTCATTGACGCAATCTCAGCCTGCCGCGCGGTCGCAATCATCTTCCAAGGTGTCGACCACGGACGGCTTGCAGGGGAAGCTCAGCGTTCTGAGCTGTCATGGGAATAGGCCAGTCAAGCACACAGAAAACGCCGAACGTGCGCTTATAACATCCGCAAAGGAAATGTCGGTCAAGATGTCGGGAAAGAAACAACCAGATCAGAACGGCCCGCACGGCCTAGCTGCCCGACCGCCGCTCCCAACCGACCAGATGAATCACCTTCCAGCTACAGTAACGAGCTCGGTGCCATCCACGCCTCACCAACATGCTAGGAAATTCTCCTTCGAGTCCCGTGATCCATCCCCTGGCGCCACACAAAACCATTCGCCCCGTTCTGCGTATTCGGAGACGAATGGTAACGTTCCATCACTTCGGCCGCTGCCTCCCAGGCTAGGGGGCTGTCGCTTCGAGACCGCCATTCCATTCTCTAGACGACGAATGCCATACAGTATCGGAGCGGATAGACTGGACCCCGTTGATCCCGACAAGATTAAGAGCAGGTTATCAGAGGACCATGAGGCGAAGCTCACAACGACCCTGCGCGAGCTTTATGACAGCCTAATACCGACTCCAGAGGTGGAGCGTAAGAGGAAAACGCTGGTCAAAAAAGCTGGAAAAGATACTCAATGACGAGTGGCCTGGGCACGACATTCAGGTACACCTTTTCGGATCCTCAGGCAACCTGCTGTGTTCTGACGACTCTGACGGTTGGTCCACCCTTACGCGCTATATGGCTGAGTCCGAGTGCTGACATTTGGTAGTTGATATCTGCATCACAACTCCATGGAAAGAATTGGAGAGCGTCTGCATGATTGCTGAGTTGCTTCATAAACGTATGTCTTCCCGCTTTCCTTGGAACAACGTGTCTGCGGTTCAAGTACTGATTCAGTCCTTACAGATGGCATGGAGAAGGTCGTTTGTGTCTCATCAGCAAAAGTACCAATCGTTAAGATATGGGATCCCGAACTACAACTAGCTTGTGATATGAATGTCAACAATACGTTGGCACTGGAGAATACCAGGATGGTGCGTACGTATGTCGAAATCGACGAACGTGTGCGGCCTTTGGCCATGATCATCAAGTATTGGACAAGGAGGAGGATAATAAATGATGCTGGTCAGTCGCCCTGTGTCCGTTCTTTGTCATGCATTCGCTTACCTTTTTACAGCATTTGGTGGCACGCTCAGCTCGTATACATGGATATGCTTGACTATTGCATTTCTACAACTACGAGACCCTCCAGTTCTCCCAGCGCTTCACCAAAAAGACAACCTGAAGCTTCTCAGGCCAGATGGGACAAAGAGTGATTTTGCTGATGACATCGACAAGTTGCGTGGGTTTGGGGACAAGAACGAGGATAGCCTGGCGGTTCTTCTCTTCAAATTCTTCCGATTTTACGCACACGAGTTCGACTACGACAAGTACGCATTGTCAATACGAACCGGCAAGCTACTGAGTAAGGTTGAGAAACGCTGGCATATTGGGGTTAACAACATGCTCTGCGTGGAGGAGCCGTTCAACACCATGCGCAATCTTGGAAACACAGCCGACGACACGTCTTTCCGGGGTCTCCATATGGAGCTACGTCGGGCATTTGAACTGATTGCCGACGGCAAATTCGAGGAATGCTGTGAGCAATATGTCTTCCCGAAGGAGGAGGAAAGGACAATCTTCCAGAAGCCAGCGAGTACATCAAGACCAATCTTGGTTAGAAGCTCTTCGCAGACGCACTCGAGTCGTAACCCTCGGAACGGCGGCTTTCGAAACGCTCGACAGTTCAATCGGAACGGGAACGGGAACTCCGGTCGCCGGGGCTCATCGAGCGTAGCACACGATCCTAATTCAACTTATGTGCAGGCTGGAGTTCCAGGGCCGATGGGTGCTCCAGAGTTTCTGCAATGGTATCACCAACATGGGATACCTGCGGAGGTTTACGCATCCCAGCTCAACGCATTGGCTCAACAGCAACAGCAGCACCAGCAGCAACAAGATAATATCCGGTATCAGTTGTTTGCACAATCACAACAGATCAATCAACAGCAGTTGCTCGCCCATGCTAATAGGACGAGAACAGGCGGCTCGCAGAATACCGATAGGTCTCGGACGAACTCTTTTGACAATCTTCCAACAAGTCCTCCAGTGCGGCCTGAACAACTACTCTACGGGTACGCATTCCCGTTGCAGAATCATCCCTATTACCACCCCGCACTACAGACATATCCGTCTTCCCCTGTGACGGCAGCTGCAACAGCTGGTGGAGGGTCCGAGTATAGGCGAAGCCTTCATCGTAATTCTGCGGCTAATGAGTCTGGTGCTTCTTCTGGTAGCGGTACGCTCAGGTCGCAATCCCAGCCAGCAGCAAGGACCCCTACGGCCTCTAGTCAGAACATGACGGGTTATCTCGGGACGAGTCAGCCTTCAGTTGGAATTCCCATCCCATTCCCGCGAATGGCAATGCCCCATTACATGCCAGACGAAGCGATAGATTCGGATATCGATCTTGCGTCAGCCAACAGTGTGACCGATTCTCCGCCTGAGGATGATGGTTCGCGATACAACCACTATTTCATGCATGGAGGCTCTAGCCCCGTCACGAACGGTACTCACGGCATCATACCCTCCCTCGGTGAACTGACGCTCGGCAATGAGACTCGCCACCGACTATCGAGTGACCAGCTGCCTCAGTCGGTCCTTGATAGAAGAATGAAGCGCACCTCGCGGTCTCCCTCGCCTTTAGGCCACAGCAGGACTCCATCGGCTGGGAATGGTTTTGCGCCGTCAGCGCCTGTTTCGCAAACCAATGGCAAGCTCGCTCCCAGTCGTGGGCCCCTCATTGTCAACGGCTCGATGGGCAAAACCAAACCTGCTGCCAGTGTCTCTCGCCAACCACCACCAGTCGCAGAGCCTGCGGTACCGGAAGATGCGCCTTATGAGAATCCTCTCTATATCCACCAAGGATTCTACAATGGCGGGTGGGCCGACCCGGCCAACTTTCACTTACCCACTGCTACTGGACACAACCCAGCTCAGTTCCCGGACCGGCCGGTAATTGTAAATAGTACTACAGCTACCCGGTCTCCATCCAAGAACATGGGGGACGCATCATTCCAACAGCGCATCGCAATGGCCAACAGTTTCCATCCTGGCATTCCATACGCGCCTATGGCTAACGATACCACTGCGTCGCCTGGATTGTCTCCTCCGAATGGTGATCGTATGAGACCCATAGCTCGCCAACAGCAGAACGGGATAGCGCCACTTGAGCTTGCTGCTGGTAGCTTTGGCGTCGCTCAAGATTTGCAGCATCTCTCACCGGTATATGAGGCGCGAACGCCATCGCCCACCCTCACGCGAAAATATGAATCCTCACTGCCTGTTTCCACGCCAGCCCATGAGCCTGCACACGGCCAGACTCGCTCAGAACGTTCCGATAACTGGAGATCAGGACACAAGACATCTCCGGTGAAATCTCCACCAGCAGGTCCTGCAGCAAAACCTGACTCTGTGACCCGCTCACCAGTTCTAGATCAGCGAAGTAATGGAACTTCCAGGGGCAATGGACACATGCGGAACGGGAACAAGGGTCAGAATGAGGGGCTCAGTGACTGGCAAAAGTCTAAGCCTCGGAAGAAGGGCATGGCTGATTTGAAACATGTGGCGAACACTTTTGCCCAAAGCGAACAGTTACCCAAAAATGACGGGGAGCGAAGAGGCGGTTGATCAATCAACGTGCGCGGCATAGTGAATTGGGATGATCCTCCGTTCCATTCTGTCGGACGAAGATTAGCCGCGTGTTGCATCCGAGCATTCGAAATCTGGGACGATGGCTTTCTTGGATACGTATCCTTGTCTGGGTTCGTCCATCGGAAGTTTAGGCCCTATATTGGACATCTGGTTCAGGATTATAAACATAAGCTCGGATGGCACATGCTGCTTGGTGGAAGATCGACCTCCTCGTCATTTTCATGTTGCTGCTGGTCAACGACTAAGCTCAGCTATGGAGCCTCTTATGGATGGTCGCCGCTCCGACCACCCTTGGAAATTCACAACACCACTGGAGACTGGCAGGCTCTTCCGACAGGCAGTTGTCTTCCACAAACGGGTCATCTACCTACAGTCTTCCAAACTGGCGGATACATCAGCATTAAGCGTCTTTATTTCATTTCATAAAAGCGAAACGACTAGGTTGCATCATTTACAGTCCTAAGACGGACCGATGAACTTGGTTCGGATAGGGAGGGTCTGTTCGGCCATGCTTGGCCCTTTTTAATGTCATTCCTGTCATCGTTGGTATCGGTTGGCTTGGGCCATATACACTGCATTTCACACATTCGAACGCATTTACAGAGGAGCGTCTCTCTTAAACATGGCGGGCAGGCGGAAAGCTTAAAGGTTATAGCACAGGGTTCAAAACTTCATTTGGGATCATGCTGTGGCTTCTTTTGTTTGTTTGTCGACGCATCATTGACCGGCCTGAATGATATCATTGCTTTATCTGGGGGACTTTTTCCTTCCCTTTCCTCGCTCAACACCATCTCTCCCTCTCTTCCCTCTTCCTCGGAAAGTTTCATTTATTTTACCGCAAAACTCACCCCTCAAGACGAGGGGCTTCCTGCCCGTTATTTTTAGGGACCTACTTCCGGTGGGACATGTTGACTGCATCGAAATGGCGCGGAGTCTCTCGGAGACCAGACCGATTCTGAAGCTCGGGCTCGCCATCCTTCCTTCATACTTCATAAAGGATGCTGTCAGCAATTCACCCATTCGGAACTCGGGAAGCAGGGAACTGGGGGGAGACGTCGCTTGCATACGGAAAAAAGCGAACAGAAAAAAAAAGGAGGGCATCGAACGGCTACGAAGAGAAAGGGGAAGAGGATATAGCAAGTTTTCGGGTTATTTCATTGTTTCTTTTTCTTTCCCTACGCACACTTGTTTGGTTTCACATTTGATACCAGAGTATACTAGAAGCGAACGACCAAGACCGTCGCATAAAGTTTGATTAGATCATGGAAAGGGAGTGTGGCACAGGGGGTTGTGTGTTTTTTCTTATTTTACATTAAAGAAAGGGATGATTGGTTGAATTGATACAAGCAAATCTGGGGATGGATGGATGGTTATGGTTCATTGGGTTATACTGGTCTGGTCTGGTTTGGTTTCTGGCTTTCGGTTTCTGGGTCAGCTTTGCAATGCGAACATGTAAAAAGAATAAAGAAGACGAACGACGAAGACGAAGGAGAAAGCATAAGATAAAAGTACCTAGTCAAAAAGCAATCATAAAAAACGCAAGAAAAAAATGGTAAAAAATATCAAAATCTTCCAAAATCTTTTTTTCCCTTACCTTGTTGTTCTGTGTGTCTGTGGTTTGAAGTTTCCTGTCATCACAGATTTGTCTAAAGATATCATCAGCAGGAAAAACGGACACCAAAAGGAAATATCATCTGTATCTCGTCACACAGATGACAGGCACAGTCACATTTTGTACACCCTTGCCATCACCAGCTACATACATAGCCTGCGATTTTCTTCAGCAGATTAGCTGAATCACATAGACAATCCCCCATTATCATAATTCTCATTATTGTGGTTCATCCTACAGAAAATGAGGTAAATCTGACCCTTTCCAGACACTAAAACGTTCAAACTCACCCTGAGCTCCCTCCAAGGTGTCGTTTGGTTTACTTTAATAAACCTGAGAATCAACACGTCGCCTCCAACAAGATCTAGTTCGAATACTTTCCCAGTAGAACTATACCATTGTAGAAACATTTATGGTGCAGAGGTATATGAAGAGCCAAGCTCCATCAAGATATTATAACATCGATGGATTTTGATCGGTGCCCATGAAGCCTATGCTAACCTGACTGTAAAGCACTTTAGCAAAAACCCCTGTGATATTCCATCCCCATGATTATCGTGAACCATGGCCCTTTGTGTTCTGTTTTCCTTTCTTGTTCTGTGATCCTTCTCTTTCATGGACTTCCTGTCACTGTGCCTTAGGAGAGAGAAATGAATGGCGTATGGAATAGAACGTGCATGTGGGAAAAAAATAAAAAAGAGAGACAATGCTCGCTCCGAAAACTCCACCCCACCCACGTATAGCTGAGCGCCTAGGGCTATACTCACCACCTCAAACGACCCAGTAAACATCCACCTGGATGCGCTTGATATGGTTGGCCCAACCTGGGAACCTCGCCTTGGCCCAGACAGTGACCACATCACCGAGCTTCAAATCCCGTACGAACTTTCCGTCGCCGGTGGCCTGGCCGCGGCCGATTTTGGGCAAGGGGTTTTCCAGCATGCCCTCCTCACAACCATGGCCGGTGTCGAAAAAATCAGCGCTCGACGTGTCGTCGGTCCACTTCCACTCTACCTCGTATTGGTGGTATGTTGAATTAGCCACCTCGTTGCACTGGATCATAGTATCTGGCTCAGCAATGAGCGGAAAGTCGAAAGTGTGCGGTCCCTGCAGATGGCGATCGCCCTCAGCCTCGGGATCAACCTCGTGCACTCTGGGAATAAGAGTGGAGAGAGTCTGCGGATCAAATGTCGGCTGGTCAATGCCGTCCTTGGTTTGGAGACACCTTTCGAGGCCGACATCGAACCAGGTGTAAGACTGATTGTAGGTCCGGCGGTGGCCTTGCCCGCCCCAGCCTTGGTCGTGGGAGACGATGGTGAACTTGATTTTGCGGCATGGGTGGCTGAGGGTGGGGGATATGCGGGACTGATAAGCGTCGACGGGGAACTCTTTGGGCTCGCGAGGAATGGGCTCAAGCGGGGCTTCGCGGTTGCGGTCATGTTTGAAGAACGAAGAAGGCGGCTTGACGAAACCAAGGGGAAGCGTGCGCAGCTGTTTGTCAAAGCATGAACAGGTTAGTATAAGGGGCGAGACCCAACAGGACGGGGGTACCCAGACTCACCAAGAAGACGTTCTCCGAGTTGGGGTCTCCCGCGTGGACAACCCTTTCTGTTTGGGGCCAACTACTGTAGTCGATGAGGGTCGATGCATGGGGCCAGTACTCGGCATGATCGATGACACTGTTAATAATCTCAGGTGGCAGTTGAAGAGCCCTTTCCAGCATCGCCCTCACGAAGATTACCTCCATGGCGGTAGGTTGGTAAGGGTTTGCGGTACGATCGATTACATCTTGCTCTTTGGGCGCGGAGTCATCCGCACTCGGCGGGTTGACCATGTTTAGGGCGAGTGTTTTGAATATGGAGGACAGAAATTCCATGGCCTCGAAGAGTGTTCGGGGCTGTTGACTATTTAACGTTTTTGGGAACCTCGAATGTGATAACCTGAAAGGGCGGCAAGATATCGGAGCACAATAACAGTCAAGTGACTAGGCAACAGATGGAAGACAACAAGATAGCACTAGGATTGCGGTGGTGAATGTCCAACTAACGATAAACGGTGAATGGAAGCCTACGCCAAGAACGACAGACCGTCAAGGTTCTGGAATCCGTGAAGGGTTGTTGTTAGTCGACGTGGTGCATTAGAACCGACAACCGCGGTGCGGTGTTGTAGCAGCTGGACGGTCATGTGGGGCATGACATCACCCTTGTACCCCGCAATTGTCCCGTCTTGGGGCACATTGGCGCCAGACAGGCGTGACAGGGGACTTCCCGCTGGCCTCCGGATGGTCGCAGTGCAGTGGACTCACAGGGGTCCGGCAATCACTCTAAACACACCCTGAGGGTGCATAATGTCGCAACATCCCGCGCCCGGGCAGCACGTGAAATGACGACTTATATTAGCGCCGTCGAGATTTCTCAGAACACTGCAACAATGTCCCAAATCCCGATCGTGATGAAGGCAGAATGGGGTTAAGCGAGGGCCTGTGGATTTGCCGCAACCTCTTTTATGATTCCCCGGATTCGAGGGCATCCAATTCAATTTCGTCTTGGCCCCCGAACTGGGCAACTGGGATTACCAAGCTCCATTCCCTCCCCACCATGAGCTCCGGGTTCGCAGTTTTGAGACTCACCTTTGTAAGGTAAAATTACAAACATTGATCATCCCGTCACCTTCGCGCTACAACATTTGTTCCTCTTCGTGTCTGCCTTTGTCTACCGGCGGTAGCAACGTCCTCCTGATTAAAGACAGATCATCACCATGCGGTCACAGAAACAGATCGCCGCGTCACTGCGGAGGGCTTCGGCAGCCTTGTCCCACGCATCTTCCAACTCCGCGACGTCACAATCGTCCAGAACTGGTGTGGTAGCTGGACTGCGGTTATCTCGACCTCAACCACAACAGCAACGATGCCTACACGAACAGGCGCCCCGGCGTAGCGGTGCTTCCAACCCAGCTATGGCCTTCCCATGCCTTGACGCCCTCGAAACCCGGTCCGAAACCCTCAAGAAGCGCTCCGACTCGAGCGGCCCTGAGCCATCCTATGTTGCCGGTGCCACACAGACCTTCCATTGCGACGATCCCCTACTTCTCGACTGGGGTGGCATGCTCCCCGAGTTCGACATGGCCTACGAATCGTGGGGCGAGATGAACGCCGACAAGTCCAACGTTATCTTATTACACACGGGTCTTTCAGCCTCATCCCACGCCCACTCGACGCCAGCCAACCCCCAGCCCGGATGGTGGGAGAAGTTCATCGGGCCCGGCCTGTCCCTCGACACCGACAAATACCACATAATTTGCACGAATGTCATCGGCGGCTGCTACGGCTCAACGGGACCGAGTAGCATCGACCCGGCCGATGGCCAGCGGTATGCCACCAGGTTCCCCATACTTACGCTGGAGGATATGGTGCGGGCCCAGTTCCGTCTGTTGGACAACCTGGGAGTCAACAAGCTGTACGCTAGTGTAGGGTCCAGTATGGGCGGCATGCAATCGCTCGCTGCCGGCGTGCTATTCCCCGAACGTGTTGGACGGATCGTCTCCATCAGTGGCTGCGCCCGGAGTCACCCATACAGCATTGCGATGCGTCACACACAGCGACAAGTCCTCATGATGGACCCCAACTGGAACCGAGGATTCTACTATGACAACGTCCCTCCACACGCTGGCATGAAGTTGGCGCGCGAGATTGCGACCGTCACGTACCGGTCAGGTCCGGAGTGGGAGCTGAGATTCGGCCGTAGGAGGGCAGATCCCAGCAAGCCACCCGCTCTTTGCCCGGACTTCCTTATCGAGACCTACCTGGACCACGCGGGAGAAAAGTTCTGCCTGACCTACGACCCCAACAGTTTGCTGTACGTCAGCAAGGCCATGGATCTCTTCGATCTTGGTCAATCATGCCAAAAGGCGGCGGCCGTCAGACGGGCTGAGCGGTTGGAGTCGATCAAAAAGGGAGTGTACGCATCGAATGGAAACGCGTCCTGCAGTTTGACGCTGCCGGACAAGCCCTACGAGGAGCAAGTCGAGTCTGCAGGCGAGGTACAGCCCGATAGCAAGTCGGCCGCCCGGTCAGACTCGTCCAACAAGCCACCCGAGGATTTGATCCAGGGTTTGTCTGCCTTGCGGGACCACCCGGCGCTGGTCATGGGTGTGGCCAGCGATATCCTGTTCCCGGCATGGCAGCAGCGCGAGATTGCCGATGCGCTGAGGTTGACCGGAAACCGGAACGTGGCGCATTACGAGCTGAACGAAGAGCAGAGCATGTTTGGTCATGACACGTTCTTGTTGGACGTGAAGAATGTGGGAGGAGCTATCAAGAACTTTTTGCAATAAGTCAATACCTACGTGGGGAAAGTTGTATAATACCAGGGATTTAACTTTCAAACGTGGAGGAAGCTACAGTAATAGAAGCAGAAAGCGAAACGGGAATCACAGACCCTGAGCCATACCACACGCAAGCACATCTCTCTCCCCTTCTTGTCGGCCGGCCATTGCGTCATGATCCGCAAAAAGTAATCAATGGTTATATGATCAGTAATCAATCACAGACAAGCTGCCGCCGAAGTAAGCTGCAAAGCTGTTAGTGTTACCTTGCCTTTTGGTCGTCGACAAAGAAACCCGATTTGATTCATCGGGCGTTACGACCCAAAGATCACCAATTGCACCACCATTGATCGGGGATAAGAGCATCATGGGCAAGTAGAGTAAGTTATCGGATTTAAACTCTCTTGACTACTGTCATCGTCATAAACATGCCCAAGAGCCACCACGACGGTATTCCGCGGACCGTAAATCCCATGTGTATATTATCTGGAGCCATCACAACTCCGTCCTTACGAACGTGGAGAAACATCACTTCCAGTCACGTCGCTCAAGACACATCCATGTCTAGTGTCTTCCAGCTCACCCGACTTCAAAGCTACTATAAAATGCCCCCGACAACGTACCAAAAGCTCCTCAACAAGCACGTCCTCGTCATCGGCGTTTCTTCCGGCCTAGGCGCCGGCGTCGCCGAAGCCTCTCTGGAATCCGGAGCCTTCGTCACCATCGCCTCCTCTCAATCCATAATCGACGCCACCATCGACCGTCTTCGCGAACTTTACCCAGAGTTTGATTCCAAGGTCCAGAGGATCGCCGTTGATCTTTCTGCTTCTTCTTCATCCTCCTCGCAGCACTCTGGGGCAGAGGCAGAGGCAGAGGCAGAGGCAGAGGCAGACACAGACTCGGACACAGCCCTCGAACAAAAACTCCACCACCTTTTCGTTACCACACCCACTTTACACTCCTCCTGCTCCGAATCTGGAATCTCAAACCCGAACCCCAAAAAGGTCAACCACGTAATCCTCACAGCCGCCGACCCCCTTTCCGTCCACCCCCTTTCTTCCCCAAGTGGTCTAACCCCCTCCACCATTTCAACAGCAACCCACTTCCGCCTCACCCTCCCGCTCCTCCTCGCCAAGGTTTCTCTGCAACACCTCCCCGCATCCACTACCTCTTCCCTAACCCTCACCTCCGGCACCCTAGCCAAAAAGCCCTCACCTGGTTGTGCGTTGCTCAGTTACTTCGCCGGCGGGTTGATCAGCCTCACTAAGGCGTTGGCGCTGGAGATGAAGCCCGTGAGGGTGAATGTGGTCAGGGCTGGGTTTGTCGATACGGGGTTATGGAGCGATAGTTTGGGGAGGAGGCGAGGGAGGAGATGATGAAGGGTGTTAGAGAAAAGGTGTTGACGGGATGGGAGGGACGGGTGGAGGATGTGGTGGAGGGGTATATGTGGTTGCTCAGGGACGGGAATGCGACGGGGGCTGTGGGGGGGAGTGATGGGGGGTTGCTGGTTGTTTAGTGTTGGCTATCGATCAGAGAATCAGACTTTATTCCATGTCCTTCTCGCCGCTTGGCGTACAGGTTGTGTAGATGCCCCATTGGGAATGTTTTGATACTGTCATGATCTTTAGGGGCCATCCGTGTCCACGGCAACGAGCGGCCAGTAGTGGAGAAAGCAGCCCGGGTTTATTGTCATCCACAGGACGTTGCAACGCTGTGCCAGTGAGATTTGTCCCCCCCCCCAATCGGTTTCCCGGCACATGGCACTGTCAATATTTAAAGGGATCATAGAAGGAAGCTGGTGGAAGCTTGAGTGAATAAAATCAATCGATTCCAACTCTTGATCACAATCTTTCGTGTCTGACAAAAGAAGAGTTGAAAAGCAATAACAGTCCAGAATTGAAAAATGGTCAGTGTCAAATTCATCATGGAAATGATAGCGCTGACTGAGCACTAACACTTCGCACAGGGCAGCACCGCCGCGCGAACATACCTGGCTTTTCACCACAACGCCAAGCTCTACAAGCTCTCAACTGTAGTCTCGGCAATCAAGCCCTTTTCTGCCTTGGAAGAAGCCAACAAGCTTCTCTTCAAGAAAGGCAAGGACGATGAGTCGAAAAGCTCAGATGATGAGTTCGCCATAGTGGCCGAGAAGACCATCTTTCACCCACAAGGAGGCGGTCAACCCTCTGATGAAGGCGTCATGACCAAGTGCAATGACAGTGTCTTCCGCGTGAGCATGGTTCGGATGGACGCCGTGAACGACGGACAGGTCCTCCATTTTGGTCGCTTCGACTCTTCCTCCTCTGCCAACAAGTTCCAAGTAGGCGACACAATCGAACAATCCATCGACATCGACAAACGTCTCTTGTACTCCCGCCTACACACGGCGGGTCACGTCCTAGGCGCTGCGGTCCGGCACTTGCTCGAGAAGGAGATTCCCGGGTTCGACGAGCTGAAGGCCTCGCATTTCCCAGACATTGCAGGATGCGAGTTTCAGGGCTCGATTGAAGGGAAATGGAAGGAGCCGATCCAGCAGAAGGTGGACGAGTACATTGACAAGGCGATGCCGGTCGAGGTGGATTTCTGGGACGAGGAGGATTTCAGGAAGAACGGGCTGGAGAGGCTTATTCCCGACCGGAGCTTGGCGCCGCCGGGGGAGAAGTTCAGGGTGGTCAAGATTGCGGGCGCCGAGGTGTATCCGTGCGGCGGGACGCATGTTGATACCACGGATTTGTGCGGGAAGACGACGGTGAAGAAGATTTCGAGGAGTAAGGGAACTTCGAGGGTGTCTTATAACGTGGACTGAGGAGCCTTGGCCTTGTTCAAATCATCATCTTGAGGAGAAGGGGGAAGTCCATTAATAGAGAATTTTTGCTGTTGGTTTCCTAGGTGCAGCGTCCTGTCGTGACATCAGTGTTGTAGAATAGAAGGGCACAAGAAAGGAAACTATTCCATGAGGGTTGAGTCCGTAGATATAAGGGCTATTGTAGAAAGAGTCAGACACGGATCCGTAGGCCAAGAAGTGTTGAATGAGGGGCGACGGGAACTGGAATGAAGCAAACAGCAGTGCCTGCCGAAAGTTTCGCGACATTGGTCAACACCTGCATTCGTACTTGATAGCAAGTACAACCTCAAAGAGCCTGAGGATGTGACTGCCCAACTTCAATCATCCACGGAAATTGCGTGATGAGAAAATTTCACCTTTCGCTCTCACACAGATCTCCCCTCTTCCCACCTGTGAGTATCGATCCCTCATATTTTGTCTTCAAGCCCGTTTTGAGCCACCTTCAATTTCTCGTTTCTTTTGCACAGCCTTATAGGAAGCTGATCCATGGTGTCTCTGACGCCCATCACGATGCTACCCAAATAATCACATCCGTCGCGCCTCGGCCCTCAAGGTTGAAGTATCTACATACAGCCCTCCATATCTTCGCTTCTAGGCACCAGCATTCCAGAGCCTCGTCGTTCCAGATTGGGACAACCAAAAATGACTAGCTAGTCTCAAAACGAGGTCGGCGCCATTTTGGCCACCCTCAGATTATGCGATGCAACCTGGAGATTACTCAACCAGAAGCGAATGGTCGATTAAGCTCCTTCGGATATCCAGCCGCACGAGGCTGGCCCAGAATGAAGTTCGATATAATGAACCCTCTCCCATGATTGCCACTTCGCTTCTCCCATAGATAGTCTTCCACCAATGTCTCATGCTCACCAGGGGTGCATGGACTGACCACCAACAACCTTTCGTCATGTCACTCAATCGCACCGTCACCCAGAGAGCTCCCGGCCGTGGCCAGTCGGTACACCGCGCTCCTACACAGAAGGCACGGAAAGCAAAGAGCTACGACAATGTTTCACAGGGCATCAAGCAGCTCTATCCAGAAAATGCATCCGACGATTGCAATATTGACATCGTCCTGGTTCCTGGCCTAGGCGCCCACCCCGAGAAAAGCTGGGAGTCAGAAAATGAAAAGTCAAAGTTCAACTGGACTACCGACAAAGATGGCGGCATCATCAAGGACTTCCCCAAGGCTCGCGTTTTGCTCTACATGTACGAGTCGGCCTGGACCGGCGACTACAAGGTCAAGCAGTTCATGGACAACATTGCCCGTTTTCTTGTAATAAGCTTGAATAACTTGAGAAAGGTTGGTACTCACGTCTCCACGCTTGCAGCTCCCTACTTACAATACCTTTCCACAGAACTGCAAAACCCGACCGATTGTGTTCATCGGACATAGCATGGGAGGCCTGGTCATCGCAAAGGCAGTAGCTCTTGCTGACAGGCACCGTGGGGAGTATCCCTTCATGTTTGAAGCCATTTCCGCCACCATTTTCTTCGGGACCCCCTTCAAGGGTGCTGATATCGCTTCTGCCGCCGTCATGTTCTCCCGTCTCGCCGAAAGGACTGGCTTTGGTGCAGTAGCTTCGAAGCTGTTAGAAGACCTGACCCCGGGAAACAGTTATCTCAAATCTATCCGAGAAGAGTTTGCGACCTTGATCACCAAGCTCACCCACAAGATCCACGTCATATGCTTTTACGAAGAGCAACCAACCAACTTCGCCGAAATGGCACACCTGCCCAGATTGGCCAACATCGTCTTTCCCAAGGAATACAAAGACTTTGTCACTGAAGAGTCAGCAACGCTTGATGGCTATGAAAAACTAGGTCTAGCACGCCACCATCGCAACTTGCTCAAATTCAACGGCCCAAAGGACGAGATCTGGTCCCAGGTCCTTCGTGACAAGCTCAAGAATGCCATTAGCGGTGCCTACCTCACGGCCAAAAACCGCCTTAATTCGGCCCGCGGCTTGGACTTGACAGCACTCAAGGGGATTCTCGACGCTCTGGACGGTGCATCGGTTCACCGCAAGAGGAGGGATCTGGGAAGAGCCGTATCTGGATCTACATGGATAACCGGCATTCCCGAGTATGCCGAATGGGTCAACATCATCAAGACCCAGGTGGCTGAACAAGAGGCACCGAAGAGCGAATCGCTTGTGGACTACTTGTGGGTTCGAGGCCCAGAAGGAAGAGGAAAGACAGGCGCGACCCTGGCCGTACTCAGTGACATCGAAGCCCTCCAGGAAAAGCGGGGAAATTCTGGTCAAGACGGTATTCTTCTGGCATACTTCTTCTGCGAACCCGTCGCGGATTACTCCACAGCTGAAGATGTGCTTAGATCTCTTCTAAGCCAGCTCATCAACCAACAGAATGCACTTGCTGCTCACGCAAGCGTCTTTGTCAAGAAAAACTCGAAAGACAAAGCTCAATCCCAACCAACCGTCGATAACTTGTGGCAATGTTTGCTCAACATGCTTTCCGATGAGTTTGCAGGCCGCCGAATCTACATTGTCATCAACAATCTTCATGTTCTGCAGCCTGAGTCTGAATCGACAACAAAGCTGATGCACTACCTCAATGCTGAACTTTCAACTTACAGGCTCGTCAAAGATGAGGGCGAAGGCTACCCTGTTTCCACGCGGTGGTTGCTCACAAGCAGGGAATTCAAGACTATTGAACAGGCCTTGACCACTCCGCGTGTACGTCTGGTAAACCTCCGAGACGTGAAATACGTAAACCAGGTTCAGAAAGACCTACAACTACATGCCAAGGGCAAGATCAAGGATCTGGAAAAACAGAAGAAGTACAATAAGGCGCTGGCTTACTACGCCAGCAGCTTGATTGGTAGGCGGGCAACCAACATGCACTGGATTGATCTTACCTGCGTCCAGCTTGCAGAGCTTCCTGAAACAGAAAGCCACGTCAAGATTCGCTTCATCCTCGAGACCACACCCAAAGACCTCAGCGACCTTCTGAAGGACAAATGGAACGAAATCTTCAGCTCCAATGGGGAAGCCGGTGAAAGAATCAAGGAGCTGCTACGAACTCTCCTATTGACGTTCGAAGATCCGACTGAGGAAGAGCTTGCTGTACTTGCAGGGCTCTCACGGACAGAGGTTCAGGGCCTGGTCGAGAAGTGCAAACCGTTCTTATCAGTTGTTAAGCAGACTGTGACTTTCATGAATGCGGCCGTGAAGAAGCATCTTGAGGACAATAAGTTACAGCTTTTGGGAATGGATCAAGATGAGATTGAGTGGCAGCACGGCATTCTAGCTCTTAGGTCACTTACACACCTGAAAGAAGCCTTTGACTTCCCCGAACGAGTGGACCTTGCTGCCGAAAACGGAACCGTGGCAGACCATGTCGGAGAAGATGGAACTCATGAACGAGATGGAGAAGGGAATGGTGTGGATGGAGGGGATGATCAATACCCGGGTAGCGAAACTCAGGGCGAGGACAATGACCCCGGTGAGGATGCAATTTCTGAGATTGGTGGGATGGATGATGACGATGATGATGATGACGATTCGACAACCGACTTTTCTGATTACGACTCGGAGGAGTGGGAGGAGGCAGGCGCAAATCTCGATCCGGAAGCCGACGAAATTCGGGATCGAGCACTAAAATATCCTGTCAAGCATTGGCTTCACCACGGAAGCAAATCGACTCCAGAGTTTGCCGACGACCTTAGCCAGGATGAAGAATTCTGGACAACCGATTCGTCAATCAGACGCCGCTGGCTTACTGAGTACATTCGCATGACAGGAAAACTTGAAGGCTGGGCCAGCAAGTCTCTCACTGCTCTGCATGTTGCTTCCTCTCTCGGGTTTAGTCGACTTGTTGTTGCGCTGTGGAACAACGGGCATGAGCATGAAATGCACACGTACGATTCGCTCCAAAACACACCGGTACGTCCACTCCTTTGTTGTGCTGGGGAAAGCGTATGACTAATATTCAGCCAAATCCAGCTTCATCTTGCAGCGTACTTTGGCCGTACGAATACCGTTGAGGAACTGTTGAATCGAAACGCAGTGATCGACCTCACCCAAAGTCGTTTTGAAGATACAGCCCTACATATGGCTGCGGGAATTGGCCATGTAAATGTGATGGACAAACTCATCAGCCGGGGAGCCAACCCAAATGCTTACTCCGAGTACACCGGTCTCGTCATCAATGCAGCTATTGCTTCAGGAAACTTCAAAGCAGTGGAGCTGCTGGTACAGAAAGGCGTTTTGCCAACTACTCAGTCCTGGGAGACTCAGCCTCCACTTGAACAGGCGGCTGAAATGACAGATATATCCATGCTTGATTGCTTGATAGAGCAGTTCAAGGATAAGATTCCGCCCGAAGACTACAGCAAAGCCATGGTTGCGGCCGCTAGAGCTGGGAGACTAACGGCTTTCAACAAACTCCTCGGGTTTGAGCACAGTAACGAGTGGTTCCAAAAGGCCCTCGACTCTGCAGCAGCTCACGGAAAATGGGACATCGTACCTGTGATTCTCAAGAGTTGTCGTGGGCTGAACTGCGATGAGGCCTTCTATCAGGCAGCTGTTAGTACGGAAAACAAGGACAAAAGTCTCGGGATTCTGTGGGAGTATTCAGACGGGACTGTCTCGAAAGAGAAACTAAGTCAATCGTTATATGAGGCCACCGATAACCAAAAGCTCAGTACCGTCACCATTCTTCTCGACACATTTGCTGCTGACCCCAATGCTACTGGGGAAGAGTAAGTAGCCCCACACGGTCTCTCAATTATTGTTCACCGCTAACAGCTATACGCCAGGTACGGAAATGCACTCACAGCCGCAGCATACGATGGGAGATTAGACATACTGCGACTCCTACTAGACGCAGACGCTGACGTGAATTCGCCAGATGGATGGGCCCTCCAGACAGCAGCTTTGGAAGGCCATTACGACATCGTCAAGGAACTTCTCAACAGAGGTGCGGATGTAAACGCGTTCACGAAAAGTGAGAAATTTCCTGAAGGAACAGCTTTGCAAGCAGCAACCGAGGCTGGCTGGAAGGAAATTGTCTCGTTGCTTCTTGAACACAACGCAGATCCAGACCTTGGCGGTGGGCCAGACGCACCTCCAATTCTCGCAGCGGCAATGTACGGCAATTCAGAAATTTTGGATTTGCTCGTTGATGAGAAAGCAAATGTCAACGTCCACGGTGGAGAGGACAACTCTACTCCTCTGATCAATGCAGTGGAGCAGATCTTTGGCACGGATCCCCTTCGGAAGCTTTTGAATGCCGGAGCCGACATTAACGCGACCAACCAGGATGGCGAGACCGCTCTCATTGTTGCGGCGAAGGAAGGAGATCGGAGTGTCGTCCGGTTCCTGCTGAAGAATGGTGCAGATGTTATGCACTTCTCTAACAATGGAACGAACGCACTGAAAGTGGCACTCGCAGAAGACCAAACATCTTGCCTCAAAGTTCTGATTAACCATGTCTCAAAGATCATGTTGGCGCTCAAGTCCGCCATGGATTCTGGAAACACTGAGGTAGCTGGAGTTGTGCGAGCTGCCATGGCGGCTCCGCAAGGTCTAAGCTATGACGACGGCACGAAAAATCCGAACCAAGACTCGGATGAGGATTCAGAAGATGAGGATGACGAACCAGAAGAAGACAGTGACGAAGAAGACCAAGAGGAGCCAACAAATGGACGGGTTCGTTTTGAGAACGAAACCTCGAATGAAACGGACATGGCGCATTCCGAGCACGGAGGAGATGATCTCAAGTCAAACGCGGACTCCTTCGAGATGACTGCCGAGGACTCGTACGAAGTCCATGTTCATGACAGATCTGACGCTCAGATTTCCCGTGGATTCTCTCGTAGAGTCACTTGGCAAGCCGGCGACAAGCGACGGGAGTCCGCAGGTGATGGTCACCACGGTCAATCAGAGGAAGCGCAACCTCAGCAACCACAGCAGCAGCGACCATACGACCCAGATGCTGCCATTGTGAAGCTAGCATCAGCAGGGCGGCAGATGTCAGAGCCAACCCATCCGACCTTCTCTTCGGCCGAGCCCAATGATCAGATCCCGCAAGCCCCAACAACGCCCACGTTCCAAAGACAGCAGCTGCCTAGCACTGTAGCAGCTCCAGGGTTAGCCACGGTGTCTGAGAATGAACAAGCACAACAGGCATTCCAGCAGTGGGCAGCATACAACCAAGCGCTCTCTTCCATGGCGGCACAAACAGAAAACGGTCAGTATATGGCGTACAGTGATATGTCTTCGTATGATGGCAGTTCATGGGGCCAGCAAGCTTCTGCAGCGGGCATGGTTGCAAACTATGGCAACATGTATCAGGCATATGCCCCACCACCCCATTCTCATAATCCCCAGAATGCTCCTGAGGTTGTATCGTCAACTACTCTGCCTCAGCCACAAATCCCGCAGCAGCAGCAGCCGCAGCCGCAATCACAACCAGGGGCATACAACCCAACAGTACCAACACAGGTTGGGCCCCCTATTGCCGGGTACATCGTTTACACAAACGAAGGGCAGTCACAGTACTACCAACCGTACCACGTCATCCGGAATCAGGGGAGCAGGCCTCTCCTCAACACCAACAGCAATAGCGGATCAAGTCTTGGTGGCGGCGGAAGCAGCACCACTGTCAGTAATAGTCAAGTCAGTGTAGCTGGAGGATTACCGAGGAACTCAACGCCGACGTCACCGCCGCTGCGGCCGGCACCACCTCCAGGATTGCAGCGCCAGCCTAGGCCGCAGAGTTCTAGTTTCTTTAAGGGGATTTTCAACAAGAGCAGCACTTCATAGATTTGAGCATCGGGCGTAGGAAGACGATATGACGGGGTCAGGAGGAGCACACGAGGTCCGCGGCTTGGATAGTGTCGTCGGATGCGGGTGACCCGTAGGAAGGCGCACTGTACCACGGGATACCACGCACCCGGCAATGTTTTCATCAAAGGAACCGCTGCGCCATATAGACACAGTCTTTTTGGGCTCCTGTTGTGGTAGAGCAGTCGATTAAGGGTCCTTATAAGGTGCCCTACGGGTCTGCAGGTGGTGCCTGGTGCCTAGGGCATAGGGCTTGGGGCTTGAGGGCTGAGGCGGGATGGGATGGGATGAAATGAAATGCGGGAAGGCACGGGCGCGGAGGGGGAGTGTGCAAGTTTGGGAGGCAAGAAGGAAGGTGCGCATCTCAAATGCCGGCTGGCGGCTGCGAGAGTGTGGCTGGCGGATTGCCTGGACCCAACATGGAGAACGTTTTTGTTTTTCATTCAGCTCCTGGGACAGAATGAGCCATGTACGCCTTCGTCAACCTGGTGGTTGGATACCTCTAGGCCACCACATCAGAATAGACGACATGAGCTCTGACACCACTTTGACTCCGTCAAGCAAACATGCTGGACAAGACTCACGATAACAAATGGGATCGGTGGTCATGATGACCAGGACTCGAACGGAAACAAAAGTTGTTGCCCCAGAGTTCGTCAGGTGAAAATGCCACAATCTGGTCTCTCAACGCCAAACACACAATAACAATCAAAACCTCCTGTTCTTCATCCAGACTGAGTCACTGATGACTGGTCGCGATAGATACAAGAGAAATGGGTACATAGGTCATTGATGTCTTCTAAGCTCCTATTTAAGCTTTCCTTCCCTGTCTTGCGCTTCCCTACTTTCACGTTCCAGTCCGCCCCGTAACTTTGGTGTTTGAGCCTCGAGAGGAGAGTAGTCGTAGGATCACAAAGGTGAAAATACTTCAGCGCTACAGGAATTCATTCACAACATGTCACGCAACAGGTATTATGCTCGCTACCAAGGAACTTCAAGACCCCCGTAAGTATGCAACTTTTCTGGTAGTCTTCAGATGCATTGACTTTGATCACAAGCTAACCTACCTTCAGTTACATTAGCTTCAGTCACGGTGAGTTTCCCTGCCCTTCTGAGTCCTCTAATCACACCGGCTAACAACTACTACTACTCTCTCTAGATTGGGACGCCAACAGACCTTTCACTGAACAAGCCCCGTTGCTCATCGGGGCTTGCATCAGGTCGACAGGAACCCGCGTAGTACCGGCGTTATTAAGGGAGCAGCGCGAGTCTAGGCGTGCGAGCCCCGTGGGAACCATGATGTACCTCTTCCATAACGCCATCGTCTGCGAGTTGGAACGAACTTTTGGGATGGACGGGCGTCGGCCGTATAAGCCGCATTCGATGCTGTGAAGACCTGGCGGGGTGCGTTTCTAGTACGAACGGGGAGTAGGTAGGTAGGTAGGGAGGTGATGGCGAGGCTACATCAAATCGGGTATTTGGCCAGCTGGTCAAACTGCATGAGGGAAAAGGTAGGGGATCTCAAGTTTGGTCTCTGACTGTTACTTACCACCGGGTCCCGCATATTTGAACGCATATGCGGGCTTCGAACGTATGTGGCTTTGCGATGGACGACGCAGGATTTCCAACTTTTTTTCTCTTTTTGCTTTCCCTCGGGTTTGCGCCCCTTTCCCCATCCTGTTTTCATCTTATTCTTTTTCTCCTTTCTTTTTCAATCTACAAACTCATTTCTATTCTCATTGGACTTTTGATACTGCATCGGTTCTTCTCTCCACTGGCCCCTTGAACGGTTTGCACACTTCGGCACAATGTGCACATCACCACGTGTCTCTCTTCTTTGCTTCTCTCCATCACCCATTTGCAATGATATTGATAAAACTAAATGTGCTTTTAGGCACACCATGTAAATTGTGCTTCACGAAAGCTGCGGGCAATTGACTCGCATAGCGGCACCGCACCGGACCTGAACACTTTGTTCCTGAACTAATATGCGGACTCCGACATTCTGCACCAACTTCTTTTGTTTCTTAAGGCGAGAGTTCCCTGCATGGAAGGAAATTTCCAAAGGCAGATACTGCAATGCAGGAATATTCGGACGGACATCGGTGCTGCACCAACTTCTCATTCTTTTTTTCTGGTTTCTGCATCCAGGGCACTATTTAATCATTTCTTCCCCCGTGTTCCTTTCTCTCTTCTTCTCTTCCCTCTATCCATCAACAAATTCATCATCTTCTTGGTCACATACTCCCAGTTTATCAACCATCAATCTTCGATACCTCGATCCAAAATCTCATCATCATGTTCGGCTCAAACACCATCCAGCCATCACTTTATCAAAACCTGCTGTCCCAAGGCGGCAACTCAACGTTTACCATGATCGAAAATGCCCCTGCTCAGCCGAAGACGAGAACTGGAGGTTACCATTGCCCTCCCATTCCGGGCCTAACGCTCGTAGCTCCTGAACAGACCTTTTCCACCACTACCACTGTCGTAGGAGACGGTACTCTTCCTCCCACCCTTCCAGGGTCTCTTCCTCCCACATCTTCGGATACTGTCGTCGACGAGACTCAATCCACCTCACTCTCCGAGGAGCCTGAGACTCCCAAGGAACCATGCATCTCGTTCGAAAAGGGTAAATATCTTCCTAGTGCATAGTGACCATATCTTTTCCGACCCAACTGACTTTTTTTTCTCTCCTCACAGACTTCGACCCCAATGCCAACATGCACGACCTCGCTCGCCGCCTCGTACAAGACCGTCTCAATCTTGGACTCGACCACTCAGAACTTCTGATTGAGGCATTGGTCCTCCGCAAGAAAGCTCAAGACCGGAGGTTTCTGGAGCAAAAGGGCCCTGACGACGGACCGCTGGCCGGCATCTGGACCGTGGTGCCCGACGTGCGTTCGGATGAGTATTGCTTTTACACGGCAATCATCCTCACCCTCGAACATAACCCTGTTGTGTCCACCACCCGCAAGGGAACTCGCTCGCTGTTCGAAGCAAAGCTGTCGACGATCGGCCACGACTGCTGCACGATGTAAAGATCGAATTGGATTGCTCTTTTCCAGAGAAGGAGGAGGAGGCGATGATGATGATGGTACATATGTATGGACTTTGCCCTCGCGTTGGCACAAAATTGGAGAAGCTTTTTTGGACACTCGGGCGACGACGAGCCCCTTTATAGCCCTGATTTACCTTACCTAACTCACATCTCACCCCCGACGGAAAGGAATTGGCGGCAGCAAGGACAGATCATGGACATATTTTCGATAGTGGCAGAGACGAATTACATGTAAAGGAGGGAGACATGATCTTGGCGGTTATTCTCGAATTTACGGAGACCTGTCTCACGGTTCATAGCTTGGATATGGCATAGCAAATTTTGATTTTTATCACTTCTTCCATTCCTACCCTTGCTTGACATTTGCTCTCCCCGATGCTTTTAGTTTCTTGTTCATCAGTGTCAGAATAATCGCTTCACACGATGAAGCTCCGTAGAAGGTATTCCATGCCCAAAGGTACATGTGCTCGATCATGCGCATGGTGAAGATACATTTCAAGGTTCCGGACCTCCGACTAACCCGAACGTACATGTACCATGACCTAAACATGGAACAGCTGTGCTGTTCACAGATTTAGGGCAGAAATCTGGCCTGTTCCCTTCTGCGTAGCATAATGCACGATACCTGCTCAGCTCAGCGTAAGGTTCAAGGGTGTGTGCATTACGATTATTCTCGACGTCGAGAAATTAGTTGAACTCGTCCATGTTCCAAATTATCTGCCTGGCTACCGATTTTCCACCATTTTGCATCTCACCGATCAAAACTTTTGATATTTCTATTTTGCATCGTCAACGCAAACATTTGCCGGGAATACTTCCTCGCTCACTCCTCAAATCTACCAATCACATACCTACGTACAGAATTATCTCTACCATCAGTCCATCATGCCTTCCATCAGAGATCCGACCTTGCAAACCCCGAAGAAACCGTAGGTACCATCCTGGCCATACCTTCCTCTCTTTCTTCATTACTCAAGCTACGATCGTTCTTCCCAGCTATATCTCATTCGAGAGAGGTATGCTGACATTATCTGCTTCCATCAGCATCGTGTGGCTCCTGCTCTTCTCACACATGAATGCAGAGCATCACGTCGCCATCACCTCCCTAACCTGCCCTTCTTCCTCCCCTTTCTTCGCCCCCCTCCGTCCTCATGCATGCAAAAAAGCCGTGAGAACTAATATCCCCACTCATAGATTGGACACCCTTCCCGCCGCGCGATCAGGCCAAAGCCCTCATCCTTTTTCAACTGGCTTCCGGTGTCGGACACTTTGCTTTGTATATGGAACAGAAACGTATGCTCGACAACAGTCCGCTGGGAACGAGGAAACATGCGTTTCACAGTGCGATCGTGGCCACACTCGAAGATGGATCATATCTAGAGGCTTGAGAGTAAAGGAGTGAAGGGTAGGGTAGCGGGGGAGTGTCGATGGCAACTTTAGAAGCTGAAATGATGTTAAACTTGGAGGGATCCGGACACAAGCTAGAATAAAATGGTCAACGCGAAACTATCTATTCTTCTGTCATTCAATGTGCTCTGCACCAATTTGTGGCTCGTTATGCAACCCCTGTTGGGATTGACGCTTCTACATTCGTAGGTCCAGTCTGGTACAAACCTTCACCTTGAGATATGATCATGTTTTCGACAGGCACCTAGAAATTGCCGTAACAGCATGCAAGGCTCTCTGCCAGACCAGAACCTGGCTGTTGTACGAAGGTTCTCAAGCTTTACATTTTGCCAGGCCTATTCCCTTCACTGCCGCCACAACACGGTTTCTGAAAGTTCAAGGTTTGGAAGTTCGATGGCCAGTGAAGCGTAATCATTCCTCGTCGATATAGATATAAAAACTCCATGCTTCCAGATTATTTTTCCTACACACCACTCTTCTACCAACATCGCAACCGCAACTGCATCCGTTCTCCATCCACGGGCATTCGCATCCAAATTTCCCAAAAATTATTTCTTCTTCACGTCAGACATCCACAATGCCAGCAGCGAGGGATAGCTACAATATGAGGAGTCTGAGCCACCCGGGACGTCAGCCATTCATCTTTCACGAGGCAATCATTAGGGAGCTGGAGAGAGACTTGTGGTTTTATAAGAGTTGGGAGTGATTGGCCTTCAAAATTAAAAAATTCTGATTGCTCCTGTCGACATCTTTTGTTCAGCCCTCCAAACCCTCGGGTTCGTCTTTTCTGCATGTTGTAGTTTTACTCGAGAGCTTCTCTCGTGGGGTAAAGGTGCGGACTTTTTATTCATGCAGTGACCAACGTGAAGAGATTCAAGGTTGTGAACTTCCTCACCAGGGCAGAACCTGGCTCAAAGCCGCCCGGTCTGCTGGAGGTTCTCGGCTTTTTCTTCACTTTATTTTTCAGGTTCGACCTACCTATTCATTTTATTGTCCCGCGGATAGGTTTCAGGTTGGGAAGTTGAAGGGCTGGCCTGTGAAGTGCATTTTTCTTCTTTGACCTAGATATAAATGTAAACTTTTCAAGCTTCCAAATTCCATTCCCACTCAACATCATTCTACCACCATCCTTTTACCACAGTCCTTTTACCACGGTCCTTCTACCGCTGTCCTTCTACCACTGTCACAACCACAGCGCACTACATTCATCACATCCTCACCATCTTTACGCCGACCAACTCTCTAACATGGAGCCTCTCCCTCGCATTCGGACTTCGAGAGGGCCGGTAACCATGGCGTGCTACAACGCCTATGCCCAGATCTGTGCCAGACAGATGTAAGCACCGAATTCTCGACAGGCGTATTGCCTTCTCATATGCCTTCAACAAAGCTAACCAATCTCCGTCATTACAGAAAAGTCTCATACACCAGAGGTATGCGTCCCGTCGTCAATCACATACCCTATACACCTCCATCATAATCATCATCATCATAATCAAACTAACAATCTTTTATCATAGACTACCGGCCCAACTGTGACGAACCGTTACAAGCACAGGAGTATATCGCTGGGACGTAGGACAACGGTAGTAGTAGCCAAAAGGTACTGGTTGATTGTGAAAGCTATTGCTTGCTGAAGAACCATAATAACAAAGGCCGGGAGGCCTTCTTCTATACTGGTCTTCAGCCCCGTCCCGTGGTCCCGTAAACTCGGGACCCCGGGTCCTATCCGATTGGTAAATTCTATCTAGATACATGAGGCTCAACGATTGGATCGTAACACCAACGTGCCCCTCGATTTCCACGTCAAGCTCCTAGTCCTGCTGCAGCTCTCTTCCAGCATCAGTCAGGCAGATCTGTGGGGGCAGCAGAGGTACCTCATGTCCCTGTGCCCCGAGGGAAGCATGGCATGCTTTTTCCACCATGCCATCATGCTGGAGTTGGAAAACTTGTTGTCGCTTTGACCGAGCATTTATTGGAGCATTTTGACGGGTTGCCGAGATACTAGGTGGCTTTAGATCTGAGCTTTTTATGAGGATATGTTATTCCAGTTGTTGTAATTCTACGGCGGGGATTAGGTCGGTCGATGGATTCGTCCGTCGACCGCTTCTGCTTTTTTTCATTGGGGTCGAAGCTTTTATTGTCCTAAGTTCCTTCAATCATTCTCGGTTATCCTGCGCTTTGATCGTCTGCTGCTGTCTCCTGCTCTGCGTGGCCCTCGTTCTAGGGATGCATTCGAGGCTCGGTGGGACGCGTGTTCCAGATGGCTATTTCCCTTCATTTTTTGGGTTTCGCTTGTTCGTATCGTATAATCGGGGCATGTTCTTACGCCCTTCGGCAGCTAAATCTCATGATGCTTTGTTTTGGCGAGCCTGGGAGGCTTGGAAGATCGAGCAGAAGAGAGTCTGTAAGTGTTGCGAAAGATGTCAGCTGCTAGGAAATATCTTTAACAGTGGTGAACTGGCAGGGTATTCAACCCGCATCCCTTGCTTGAAACTACGAGCAAGTAAAGGGGGAGTGGTAAAGGGGGAGTGGTAAAGGGGGAGTGGTCAGTGGGTTCCAGAAGCGAGGACTACGAAGAGAAGCAACTTGTGTGGAGCAGGAGGGTGAGAGGCGATGGGAACTGTCGAGAGCAAAGAACCAACCACTAGTTGAACGGTCGAAAGAAGATGAGTAAGCGCACGTGGAAGTATGGAAGCAGAAAGCAAGGGGGAAAGGATAAATATCAGGGCAAGGGAGAGCGTGGAGGGTCTTGTCAACTACAAGCAATGGGAAAAGGAGGGAGAGAAAGATGTAGGGAGCAAGTTATCGAATTCTTTTTTTTTTTTATAAAAAAAAAAGGAAAAAAAACGGCTCGTCTGTGGGACGGCTCGTCTGTGGGAAATCTGAGGAGTCGGCGTCAACCACGACATCCAGCAAGGCAAACTTGCGTAGGCTTGGATATGTTTAACGACAATTACGTCAGTCTCGGTTTTTCGTATTTATCTGCGATCGCAAAAGGGAGACACTTACCAGACCAGCACGCGCAACCCGCCTAAAACCGGCCCTCCAGCTCCAGGCAACAGGCGTTGTAAAACATCCAGGGGATGTTGAGCTCGAGCTGGGCGGCCCGTAACCAGTGCAGCTCGAAGAGCAGCCCGTTGGTGTCGGCACCGTGCGCCAGACGGTTGTTGACCAGGCGTCTGGCCTGAACAACCAGAGGCCATTGGTTGGACCAGTCTAGCAGAAAGAAAAGATATGGTTAGTCGTGGGTTGTGGGCTTGGGGGAACGTGTAGTGGTGTTGGCTTTGCTGTGGTCATTCCGGGCAGGATGTGTGTGTTGCATACCTCTCTCAAACTCGATCCACCTGGACGTAGAAGTTAGCTTCGTTCTTGCTGCTTGGATATGGATTAGAAGATTTGAAAGGAGAGTTTACTTACGCCATTGCTACTTGTGACTTTTTTTAAAAAGAAAAAAAAAAGAAACCGAGGGAGCAAGATGGTGGGAGAATTATGATCGTTGGCTAGTGTTTTTGATTTGGCTTGAAAGCTGGAAAAAGAAAGGTGGCAACAGTTTGAGGTCAAAACTCTCATGTCCTTTCCCGGATAACCAAGTGGAAGAAGAACCGTGATATTTATTGGGGAGGAGAGAAGGATGAGGATAAACTAGAACTTGGATATGTCAATAGCAAATGTCTTCTATTCATCCTTACCTTCTCAGGGTCAGATAGCTTTCTTATTGTTTGTTGTCTCCATCTCGCAACGATTGGACATCGGGTGGACACTCAAAGTTTTGAAACATTTTTTCGTCTGAAGAATGGCAGAATGATGATATAATATGGGTGAGCGTATTGGAAACAGCGTATTCATGGTATTGTACTTTTTTATTTTGCACAAGGCGGGGCGGTATTTTCGGTGTCGTGGGACCATCGAGGTGTGGAAAGATCGACTCGTGGCGCGCCAAGCAATTTTCGAAATTCAGGGGAAGGTGCGAATCGAGTCTGAATTCATCATGACCCGACTGCAAATCAGAAGCCGCACCAGGGGTTGCGGCTCTCAATAGGTACCTCTAGGCATTCCATCAGCTGGAAATAAGTGGCGTCTGCTTTCCTGTTAGGGCTTTGTCCATCTTCTTGATAACTGGACAGGGTTGACGAAAAATGAGTTCATCGGAACTAAGCCAGGAGAAAACACGAAGTTTGGATAGCTTCCGATGCTCTGAAACTGGTTTCCTTCGGCGGTACCGGCGAAGTGCAGGACCGAGAGGAGGAAGGGTCGGGACGAGATCGCGCAGATGCTCTTGAATGCTAATCTTTTCTTTTTGTGCCGTTAACCAGATTGCCAGAGACATGATCCCTTGGAAAGACCGTCGAATTACGAGTCCTGTGCGCGATTGATGCGGGGGATTCCGGCACATGGCAGAGAGTGTCAGCACTCTTCCTTGACGCAGCCAGCATGCATAGGCAGGTGCAGACTGTCATTAACGACAGGCGCAGCCGACATGTACGCACTGCTACCTCCTACATAACAAAAATTTGCGAGGGTTTGGTCTGGGAGATCTTGTTCTGTTCCCCTCACCATCATCCAACGCTATAAGGAGGATGTCGTGCTAGATCAGGGAGGGGCCATCAGAGCCCTAGAATCACTAGCGCGCTTCTACACCAACCCGCAAAACTGGGAAAGAGCCCATATCTTCCTGGTCGAGGCCTACGAGCACTGGGGATACTTTTGCCTCAAAAGATACAGCCCTACCGTGGGAGATGTGAACAGGTTTCTCCAAGAAACCAGGTGGCGGTGTTTGCCAATCTGCCACAAGGAACACTTCTCACTGGCAATTTTCGACCAAGGCGAGCAAGTGTGGTTCCATTACGACTTGGGGTTTGAAGCACAGAGATTCCGAGAGCTTCCCTTGTGACATCCTCTGTCTTTTTTACCAAGACATGATGAATATCGAGTTCGAACGTGAAGGGAAACAAGGACCAAAGTTCAGGTGAAAGTCGACCCCTTTGGTCTTTGGTCGATACAAACGCCTGATGTCCAAGTTTCTGCGAGGTATGACTTCATGACCGAGCAGTGAAGGCAACTGGAAGATTCGTCTGAAGACTTTGCCAGAATTTAGGAAAGCTGGATGTCGAGCGCAGAAAATCTTGTGTCCTTTCATCCCGTCACCGTTTCTATTGTTGCCCTGAATGAGGTGGGGTCAGGAAGGCGCGTCCATTCACTTAACTACTCGTTCCTTCCATATATAGCCTTCCAGAACTTTTTCTTCTCCTTCCACCTTTCTGTTGCGACCGTCAACTCCCCCGCCCCCCAAATTTTGCGAATACATTTTTCACGTCACGGAAGAATCGCTGGAGATATCGAACGGACGTTACCTGCGTCAATCCTACTCGCGATTCCATTGCATCTCCAATTCAAAATTCTGTAGGTAATCTCATTGCACTAGCTACCAACTTCCCAACCCGGCTGAATGAGAGACTGACTTTGCTGTCAAGGTGGATTGAGTATCCGAGAGGTAAGGACTTCCTCACATGATCGCGCGCTCCGAAATTATCTTCCCAAGTGTCATCATCTTCATGAAACAAATCTAACATAAATCTTTCTTCCCGCTACAGATTGGAGGAGCGACATGTGTCACAGGGTTAGTCGTATGCTCGTGCAGGCTGCAGCCTGATTGGCCGAGTCCCAGCCTCACGCGGCTGGGACCCTGCTTAAGACCAGTCCTTTGCACACAGCTGCGACTGTGTCACAGGGTTAGACCTCTGTGACTGTCGCACGCTGGTGCAGGTTGCAGCCGCTTCTGAGA